GATTAGTAGACCACCGAGATAAGTAACACCATCGATGTGTACAAGTCGAGGCTCTGTACACGAGTTAAATAAAAAAAGATATGCAAATTATTTTACTGCTCAACTTTTTTGGAAAGGGTAGGAAAATCACAATTTTTACATGTTTTAATTCATCTTGGCAGCTTTTTGTTTACAATCAATGTTTTTGAATGCTTGAACTTTGTTTGGATTAGGCCTGGAAATATTGATGTCATAAAGATGGAGATCAAGAATCCTCAGGAATACGATTTTAATTTACCACTACAACCTCAGACGGGTGTTATCCAAAGATATACAGATGAATGACACAGATTGATCACAACGTCATCATTGACCTAGGATACTGCAATTAGACTAACCATCCTTTTATGAAATCTAAAAAAGTTGTTTGGCGTGTGTTTAGTTGTGGTTACGTTTGGAGGCGCTGAATATTTTATAGTTTAAATAAATGAATATGGGGAATTACGATGTACATTGATTCAATGAGGGTGGTTTAATTATCAAGGATATTGGAACTGATAACGGAATGGATAATAAACATAGACAATTAATTAATTACGTCACTAGCTCTACTAGCGTTTTTACTTTTTAAATTCCTTCAACATGTGACCAATTCTTTTGTTCAAATTTCAAATGAATATTATTTTTGACTCAGCTGTTACAAAACAAACTAATATGTTGTTGTGTTTACTTCTCTTTGTTTACACTTATTTATTTAGCAATTGATGCAGTGAAATTGACATAAAGGATGTGTGTGGACGATTCGTTTAATGATGTCAGGACACCAACGTTATAATTATGTGTACTGTGAATTTTATTGGATGTTTTCGTTTTATTTGAGGGAGTTTCAATTCAGACCTACTGGAAATTGTGTATAGTATGAGTAATTGTATTGTGGTGATATTGGTTAATATGCATTTTATGGAAGGTAATATCATTGACTTCTCAATTGATAATTACTCTTTCTACTGTAGGCTGCAATAAAATTTATCTTTATACGTGTAAACTAGCTGTCCTGAATTATAGGCCTACACCGTTTTAACTGACTACTCCCGTACGTAGGACGGGCTAACACCTCGTCTGATCATTAAATCTTAAATACCCCATACTGACATGATATTTGTTTTGATTTTCAAATCAATGATTGGTGTCAGTGAAATTATTTCATACATGAAATAAATTAAGGTATTATTCTCTTCACATTGCAAAGCACAAATATAGCAGCTAGCTACATACATCTCTTGAAACAGAAAAAAACTAAAGTGATTTATCGAAAGTGGGATATTTTATAATTAATGAACAGTCTATAACTATCAATGAGGCATGATATTTGTTTTGAAACACTTACAAAATCTTTGTAGAAAATGGAAATATCATGATGAAAAGTATGTCGCGCAAACTGAACGAGAATATGAAAAACACTGAGATCGAATAGACTTCTTATCTATACAGGTGAATTACGCTAATTAGATTAATCTGCAGTACAAGCCCGCATTAATCAACGTTTTAAACACAGTTTGCATGTGATTATAAGTCAGAAGGCTAATTGTTGTTTTATGGATAAATAAAGTTAAATTTATAAGTTCCATAACATGAAAATAGAAATATTCCCGCCGCAGCAAAACCTGCTGACTAAGTGAATTTCCATTTGTCTGAATAACTCTGAATTGATTTTTAATTTAATCTATTTAAATTACATTAGGTTTAAAAAGTACCTAGGTTTGCTGCTACAGTACAAGGAAACTAATAAGTGTGTTTTTTAGTAAAATATTAATAGCTTAGTATAAAAAAGAGATTTGCCAAGTTTGATCAAACTACATCCATAAACAAGCAAACTAAAACATTTTACTACATTCTCCATAAGAATAACATGGGAATAAAAATTTTTATTTTTTTTATTTTCTCCGTTACCAATAATTGTAATTGTACAAAAATACTTTAATATAATAATTTTTTTAAGCTCTTTAAAGAGGTTTAGAGTGAAATTTTGTGTTTGGAGGGTCAAAAATGATAAAAACGAATTTTTACCCCATAAAACCCCCCGTAAAACCACATTCACATGATTCGATCATGCTGGTTTGCGAACTCATTCAAGTTTATCCTACCTTACCTCTTTAAACCAAATTTCATCATAATCGGGCAAAAATTACTCAAGTTATCACGTTCATAGACGTATATATATAAAAATTTGAACAAATGAGGTTTTTGGCTTCTGGGGACATCAAAATGAAAAAGTAAATTGGTCCCTGGCCTAGGTCTTACCATGCCACCTACGGTAATAACTACTTCCCTATAGGGAAATTCGCTAACATCACTCAAGTGGGTACCAAAGTGAGACTGGAAAGTTACTGATAGTGTCAAAAACTACATAGCATTGATATGCTGTAGTTGAGTACATATTTGTGAAAAATCTTGGTCTTTCTCATAACTTTAATGGCTTTCCTTTCTCCATTGCACCAATCTCCATTAACTTAATCATTACTTATGTATGGGAATATTCCTATTAGTTTATTTTCAAATGTTTAGCGCTAAATAAATCCTGCCTAAAAAGTTTTACAAATAGACATTTAAAACAATTTTTTAGAGGATTTCAGGATTTGGGCCTGGTTAAAAAAATTAAAATATAGCCAAATGTGCGATGAACTTTAGTCTTATTCTAAAGACCCTGATTAATTATAAGCTAAATTTGATAGGCTAAGTTTTATCTAATTTAAGCTAGTTTGAAAAGTTTATGTAAACTCAAGACTGTATCAAATTAGATGGTAAAGTAAAGACGACAATGCCCTAAATTTGTTTATAATTTTCACTGTTTACATAAGATATTTTATGTTAGTTTATTCCCAGACATATTTTACACCTTATTACACAGAAAACAATTAAAACATAAATTTACTGAACTATTGGTTTTTAACAATGTAAATGAACTTTTACCAACTCCCGCTTAAAATGTTTTAAGTTTTCTGTTTCATGCACTAAATCAAGTTATTGTGTTCAAGAGCTCAGGTTATTCATTGTGAAAATAACTATTTTTTTTTCAAAAAAAACTTTAAGAGCCAAAACAGTTTGTCATGGCATAGAATTTTATTTTAACTAAACCGCCAGAAATCTTGACCAGAATCAGTTTAAAATTAATTAATTCACAATACAATTACTGTTTCTTTAGTAAATTGGTAAACAATTGAAGATAAGTTATTAATTTTAAAATAGTGTGGTTAAATTAAATGAATCATTGTTTTTACCCGTTTTTCATGACTCTTAAAACGCATAATTGTACAAACGTATTGTAATAAAATACAATGAATAAGTGTTTTTATGCAAAATTACCTGATCCAAAAGATATGTTTTTAGGAATTAAAGTCTCACTCTTAAATCAATATCTCCTTTTAACCATGTAATGTTTATAGAAAGATACAATTTTTTCACTGTAAAAAACTATTTTCATAAAAATTTGTATGAGTCATTGCATGCTAAAAAACACAATTAGGATTAAAATTCATAAAATAAAAGAAAATCGTGCAACGAGAATAACTGCTATCAAATAAAATACCTTTCATAACAAAACCTAAAAAAATTCCACAAACAAAACTAAAAAAAATAAAAAATAAATGATCACCTGTTAAAGAGGTTCGAGAACACGAAACCACCACCAGCTGAGTTGAGTAAGAACTGAGTCTAGAAGTCTGTCTGTTTGTGAGTTAATGACCTAGACTCAGCTGTTCCATTCACAACTAGCCAGTTACTGGCCACAACTGAATGACCATCAATACAAACACTACTACAATGTGTGATGTTATCACTACTCACCTTCAAGATCAGATAAGAAAGACAGCTATCTTTTATCCAAGGTAACCATGTTTAATGTAAACAAATAATCTAATATCTTAAAAACTGAAAGTAGGAAGTGAAATTTCAAAGAGAAGTTTCTGTGTTTTGCTACAAAAAAATATCCCGGAGGCCTAAAGATATGAAAATTGTCACAAATTTTACCAACAAAAGTTACCAAAATCTGGGAATTTTTTTAGTAAAATTTTAAATAAAATAATAATAAATATGATATTGCTGCAGTGAGAGATGAGATGGCTATGTATTTGTTATTAAGTAACGCTAGTGTTACAATAGACATTGTCAATACAACTGTTTTCTTGAGTTAAACATGCAATTATCTTTATCTTTTAACTTGTAGTATAATAAAATGTTCGGCAAAGTCAAAATAGATTTAACTCTCCAGTACATGCAAGTTCACTTTAGATCGAATTACCAAATACCCCAATCTTACCCACATTGTTAAATGCAGAAGTACATCTTTTTTCATACCATCCAAAATGTGGCACTCCAAGAATACAAATAAATCTCAAAGGTTAGAATTCATTTCTTACAAATTTGTACTCAATATTTAATATCTGTAACGAAGCACTGTCTCTAGTCCTTGTACAATATTTTAATATTAGTAGTCCTAAATAGTGAACTCTATGACATTTTCCTAAAAAAAGTGCTGAAATGAGTAAACCTGAAGACATTAAGAAAAAAAAACAGTAGCTTTTACAGTAGGTTTGAAACTGGGCCCAGCTGTCCTTTGTCTTTTAGGCTTTTTTTAATAAATCGTCCTGGTTAATGAAATAAACAGCTGATCTTAGTAACAAAGCTACACAGATCATCTCATTCCATTTTAAACTCACATTCAGCTTAAAATACGCTGAATCTCAAAGAAATAAAATTGATAGATATTGCATGACAAAAAGTGCTGAAAGTTGTGAAAAGCAAGACTTGATGTAAGATGTAGATATTGCAAGACAAATGGTCACATAAGGAATCATTTGACCTTGACCCCCTTGTGTCATATTCAAGTGTGGTTGACCTCGTGCATATGTGCTAATGTGATAGTGAAGTTTATATTTATACTCTGGTAGTTCAATAATTGATTTTAAATCCCCCTGCCACAGCAAACCTGCAGACTAAAGAAAGTTATATAAACAAACACCTACCTTAACAGAAGAACTGGTATCTTCTTGCAGTTGCGATGTTCAACTCACTTACACAGTTCAATTCACTCACTTCAATTCACTATTAACAATTCACTCAATCATTTACCGACATTTGTGGATAAAACACATTTCGCACATATTAAATGTTTTACTCGTTCTGCGTTTGGACCAGAACCTAAAAAATAAAATACAGTGTTAGTATCCACTTTTATAGAATGTTCAAAATTACTGATGTAGGGTGAGCTAATTTGAATCTTATATAAAAAATAAATAAATAAATGTCCATTAAGTTTTTGAATTTGAAACCCATTTTATTGTATGTTGTTTTGGGCAAACAAAATTTCTTAAGAGGTTGGCGGCTTCTTTTAACATAGAATTTGTACAACTACATGGGATTCATTAGGTATAAAACGATTCTGCGCTAAAACCTTGACGAGTAAACACAAATAAAATTATATTAGTTTATTATTTCAAATATTCTAATTAGAAAAGATGCAACTTCATTCATTTAGTTGGTGCTCCGCAAACTATTTGAGAAAGTGTTAGTCATATGACATCCTTAAAAAAATTTCCCTAAACTGATTCAGGCCAGCTTCTTGGGTTGGAAGATTGGCCAATCCAAGTCAGCCTTCAGTAGATTGTGCTTTTCACACTAATAAGGAAGTCATTTTAGAGATTGAAATTCACATCACAAACTCTACAAGTTGAAGCTGTTTGAATATTCCAAAGTCATGAATTTTTTCTCTAATCAATTCAACAGTAAATCTTAAATTTGTGAATTCTACATATTGCAAAGCATTCAAGCTGTAACTGTAACAACGGTGCTTTAATCATCATATTTATGAATTTTTAAATTCAGCAAAGATTTCTGGGTTTCTAATCAAAACTTCTCTTGTACAGTATAACCTTAAAAATAGTAAAGAGTTGCTTATTTATACTTCATTTCTTACTTTCTTAGCTTATATCTTGTGGAGTTAAACCAACCAAAAAGTATTAGGAAAATATTTTACTTTGATAAGAAATGGAAAAATCAACATATATAATGCCAGATCTATCTTGACATTCTCAATTCATTCCAGGAAAAAAAGATATTTTCATTTAAATAAAACCCATCTTAAAATTACTTTTACTAACTTTTTTGTTACCTAGTTAGAATGAGAAAAAAAATGAAAACTTGTAATTCAGAAAACAAAATATTCCTTTTAATTTAACATAACACGAATGTTAAATATAATATAAACCTATAACCCCCATTAGAAACTAGTGTTACTAATTGGTTATAGTCACCCTTGACATTACATAAAGCACCAGTCAAAGCAACAGCTAATCATAAAAAATAAACCAATACTATGTTTTGATGACAAAGCAGAAAAATAACAGGAAAAAGTTTATTTGTTAAAGTAATATTTAAGTGCAGACATAAAAATTAGTCTATAAAAAATCTACATAAGCAGAAGTAGTATAGTAATTATCATACCTGCTACTTTTTATTTCATCAATGAACTCGACTACAAACAAGCATTGAAACAACTGGCAAAGCAAACCATTGACTGCGGAAGTTAACAGACAGGTTTGTTGCGAAACCAGCTGAGGTTGATGTAATTAATACCTCTTGTCCATTCGGCTTTTTAGAGGAAGTTAGACCCAAGGTCATACAGATTTATTGTCAATTACAAATTTTTTCTCTGAAAAATTATGCTTTAATAATGTGTACACTTTTTAAAAAGTTTTGTATTGGTTAGTTTTTGTGAATAACTGAAACATTTCATTTGCACAGCCGTTTAGTTTACCTTCCATAGCACTAAAACAGGAATAAGTAAGGCAGTAGAACACCAGATGTATTTGTGCCCAAGTCATTTGGTTTTTGCCAATAGTTCTGGTATGTTTGAAAAATATTTAAAAGGACTTTTCTGAGATGATTAGTTTTACACTTTTAAATTTATGACATTGTTAGTTAAAGTTATATTTAATCTATTATTCTTTTTTATTCCTGTAGTTTATTCTTGATACCATTGCATTTTTAAATATATTTATCTGCATGCTACCGATTCAATTAGTTAAAACTGTATAATGTCTAAGTAACAATATTTTTGTGCTGACAAACCATTTGTGGTTAATGCACTTTTATAAATTATGTAATGGAAATGATTGTGTTAAATAAGTTTTTGATTGATTGAAGTAAATTTATAAATTCCAGGGACCTTTGATATCAGTAAACAGATGTTAAATTATTACGTAATATTACAAAATTCTACAACTGTTTTTCTATTGAATTGAGTTACAATATCAAGTTCATTGTGATAGAATTTGCTCTTTCAGTTGTTCTGTAAATATTGGAATGTACATATTTGTGCTCGATAAAATCTATTGTTTGATAAATAACCTTGTCTGTAGTCAGTCTGACAGAGTTAATTTTTTATCGCTTTACTTTAGTTTATTAGTTACATTATTTTCAAATTCCATTTTTTAGTTTTTTTTATGAAGTTAGTGGCCTCTTTTACCTTGCATTTGCCCATTCACATGGGCTTCAAAGGCCTGTGCGTAGAATGTTTCTAGCAAAACAAGAGGTGAGCTGGTAGAGTACAAGGGTGAACCGTACTAATAAAAAGTAGTGGCAGTTACCAGGATTGTTGCCTAAGCACAAAGTCCATGGTGACTCACCAACTTAAATTATATAGACCAAGTACAGAAGTGTCAGGGTAAAAAAATGAAAAAGTTAAGACTGTTGTTACAAACACAAAAGGTATAATGGGAAGTAAGTTGGATGAGTAATAGCTATTTACCTTACAAGTGTAGTAAGAGCGTTTTTACATCACGCAGGTGAATGTTGTGCAACGAGCGGAAGCGAGTTGCATAATTTACCGAAGTGATGTAAACACGCTCTTGCGTAACGTGTAACGTACAAGATTTTACCTGACCCGACAATATACAGGAGGTTACGAACAATATTTTTCATTATCCATTTCAATCATCTTCTAACAGTAACGTTCATTTACAAACAAAAGCTAGGTTAGGAAAATTCTTCAAAACATAACAATAAAATTCAAGTGCACAGCTGATTTCTAGCGTTGAACGTCGTTGGCTCCATAGAGGTATATTTCTTAAGTTAAGCACTCAATGTTATTTAAATGGGTTTCATTACATCACCGAGTGAGTTTTTTTCAACTTTACATCACTCGAGAAGTAACGAAGTTATATACATCACGCTTGGGATAGAAAAGTTTAACATAGCGGGTTAGGTAAAAGAAAAAACAACACGTGCTCTCAATTTCAATGAACACAATTGTTGGTCCTTGTACACACAGTTAACACACAACTGTTGTTAATTGTCTCGCACTTCTATATTTTATTTTAATCTGTTTTTAGCATAGGGTGTTTGGCTGACGCTGTAATTTTTATGGTGATGGTCGTTTGGAACTTTTGTGTTAGTTTAAGTTCAATATTTGTTTGTTTTATGTAAGTTTGCCTTTGATTAGTGACGTAGCTGTCCGGCTATGAACTTCATACCACACAAAGATGTAATTTCAAAGATTGCCTGAACATGTTTACCTTATCCAAGCTGTACTTGGTCATATAAAGTGATTTAATCTAATACTTTATCAATTCACCCTTAAGTACCACTGTCTAAGTAGATAAATAAACAAAATCTATAAACAAAGGTCTATAAACGAGCTTTTTACTGATCTACAGACCATTTCAATTTCACAACGATTAAGAACATATGTTCAATAAAGGTATAAAACAAAAATAAGAGGGTAAAACAAAAATCAATAATAAAATGAGGATTCTTTAATACGTCACAAAAATAAAACATGACAGGCAATACGAGTACTATAGAAAATAAACAATCCAATATGCCATGGATTATATGATTCTAATCTAGAAAAACTGTTCTACAAAAATGTATAACTAAACTCCACACGTACAAGAGTAATGAAAACTATACAGTTTATATACACACTAGATGCTTTGGATTAAAAATACTTTGTCTAAATGTTAACTACTAATCTTTTGGTTTTAAAGCTTAACTGATTTTGTTTTTCTACAAAACGAAATGAGATCTACAATGAGTCGAAATTAAACCTTAAACAATTAATTAACACTGCTAAAAAACAGTTATAAAAAGTTTAAAACAATATAAAATATTTTAAATCTCAGCCATTAAAGCTACATTGCTGTCAACATTCTCAATATGGTGAATTTGTCTTTTTTTAGGATAGGCCTACACTCTTAAACTTCATTCGTCACTACTATCATTACTTTTGATAATATTTATGCAAAAATGTTTGGCCACAGTTCTAAGAGCATCAAATAGTTAATGTAATCAAACACAAAACATAACCACGACTCATATTTGTTAATTGCCAAGCTAAGAGCATTATGTTTACACTAATATGCCTGTGTTTTTGTTACTAAATTATAAAAAGAACATACTTAAAGCCGATTTATCTGTCAAAAATTGTCACTATTGTGTGAAGACTAGGGAATTTTGCAAAAAATGTTTTATAAAAATTGACTGAACCATTCAATTGGGTTTCAAATTTACTCTGGATGCCTTCGTTTGATCTAGTCAATCACTTCTCCATAAGAGAAAATAAAAATTGCAAACCAGAAGCTAAAGGTATATGTGCTAGTTGCAGTTTTGTACATTTATATAAATATTATTGTTCAGTTGACACAGCACCTAACATCTCTTTTGCAAAGTAACTCTTGAAAACCAACAGTAAAAATTATCCACAATACATTTGATATATAAAATATTACAATATAAAACTAAGTCTAAAACCTAGCTAAAATTCTTACATTACTTTTTAATGTATAAAAACTATATCTTTGGCTTTACACAACTATACCATGTACACTATGTAACTACTACATAATGAAATACATGATGATTGTCCCTGAACTTGTCAATAACTATCTTACTGATCTTAGCCTATTGGCTAAGATTGAAGCTTGGGTTAAACTATCCTTTAATATTTGTTCAAAACAGTTATAATCTGTCCGTTCACTTGCAGTCGCAAAAGGATTAGTGACTAAACACATACATACTCACAGACTGCTTAGCTCAAAAAGTTTGACCCCTATTTCCACACAACCAAAACAAAAATCACCGGGTAGAGGAAATCCCGTTTTATCCTTTAATGTAAAGAAAAATCCCGTTTTATCTGACAAAATGCTAATAAATGTTTCCAGGTTTGAACAAGTGGGGTTTTGATTTCCAGGCGAGCACTATAACCACTCAGCAAGCCCGCCAATTTTTATATTTTTTCAAACAAAGGTTGATAGTCTCTTTTACTTTTTAATTGCCCATCTACATGGACCACAGAGGCCTGTGCAAATGTATCCAACAAAGCAAAGGGTGAGCTCGTACATAGCTAGATTGGAGTGTACTGATAAAATGTAACGGCAGGTACTAGGATCCTAACCCAGGACATCGCTTCATTAAACCCAAAATTTGTGGCGCTACCGACTGAACCAATCAATCACCTATCTGAGCTGTTCAACATATTTATGTAACATAGTACATGAACTTGTTAAAGTTATTTCTTACTAATCCTCTAGGGCCTACTAGTTAACGGACAGGGTATACATGTCTTGGCACAACAATATCGGAAGAAATAAGGATATTTGACACATTTTTTACTGATGCACCTAAAAAGGTCATAATCTAAAATATATTCTATTTACATCTATACTTAATGTGATGGTTACAAGATTTTTGTCTTTTTCAACACATCAAAGACTAATTAAATTGTCAATGGTTGAATATGACTATAAAAATAAATCTGTGATGTTATGTGAGAATAAGTTAATATGGTCATAAAAAAAATCAGGACATGGTAACCCAAAATAATGAGATACTCGATTGAGAACTGGCCTGCCGAATACATGCAAAACAACATGCTTGTGTACATATGGTGCGTATTTACATCAAAACTGTATAAAGTGATAATTATATGAGAAGTAAAAAGATCTGTTATATTAAGAATTAATTAATTGTTGTGTAGTATAAATATAAAAGCTTTACACTGATTGTGATTTGTAGCTACTCCTAACTTAGCTTAATTTGTGAATTTGTGGTCATAATATCGATAACTTCATTACATTAATGAATACAAAGTTATATTTAACTAGAAGCTTCAAGTGTAAAAATAATTTGATTTAAGTACAAAAATATTGCCATTATTTTTATGTATACAAAATTGATCACAATTGTTGCTTTTTAATGGAAGGCACATAAAGAAGTTTCTAAAAATAGAAGATATATTTTATGGTATAAATAATTAAGTTATATCGTTTAACATGATATTTTAGACATACAGTAGAATCTCTTTAATCCGAACTAATTGAGACCAGGGGTAGTTTGGACTAGTGAATAGTTCGGATTACAGAACATATTGTTGTTTTTACATAACAATTGCTAAAAAAATGGCTAAAACTAATCAAAATTTTTTTGTGAAAAGTGAAAAAAATGTTTTATAAATTAAAATACAGTGTTTATTATTTAATACAGTAGTAAACATGGTGAATAACCAGTACCATACATTAAAATTGATAGGTGGTTATACAGTATACAATAAAGAACTGCTGTACTGTGTATAGAGTACAGCAATGAGGGGTTCGGATTAGTGGACGTTCGAATTACGGGGGTTCGGATTAAAGAGGTTCTACTGTACACTTAACTTACAAACCAACATAAACATAATGTTAATTTTTTGAAAATAATGAAAAACTAACCCATTATTTGGAAACAAAATCAGGGTTTTATCATAAACACTATAATTTTAAAGAGGTTTCTTCACAACAACCAAAGAATAATAAAAAAAATCATCAGGAATTTTTTTTAAGAACCACAAGAACTTATAAATTAATAAAAAAATAAAATATATTGGTACAAAATGAATAGAAGTAGAAAATGAAAAGTAAAAAAAATATTTGTTAAAAATAATTATCAACACACATTCCAGCTGCAACGTTTGTAAATCTTAAAATTGTCAAATATTGTAAAGAAAAAAGTTACTATAAAAACTTGATTGAATCCAAAAATATTTAAAATCTCCCTTCATATAGCTGAGTTTAAGACTTTAGGTCCTGCCTTTTATCAGGTCACTCATTTTATTCGTACTTAGTCCAATGTCTCAAGGTACTTCATTTATATGTAAAGAGACCCATGCAAATATTCAAATGTAATTTAATTGAATCAGCATTTAAAAATTATAATTTTCAAGGATAAATAACTATCCATCACTTGTAAAAATTCAAATTTAGTACAAAAATTAAAACAAGTTTTTGTGATATTAAAAAGTGTATGACAATGAAAATATTTTGTATCTTTTTCAGTTCCAATATCACTTGATTGTTTGATTCACTCTTTGGAAGAGAAATATAAACATTGAATGTAAAAAAATGTACAATATTTTAAATAAAATATATTTTCTGTAAGCAATTGAAAGGATTGCCTTAAAGCAGGTATATACACCATTTTAGCACAGAATCATTAACATGAGCTAGGCTCTCATCACGGCTACTTCCCAAACTCTAATAATTTTTTTGGGGTAGTGCTGCTGGCTACCGAGAGTTTAAATATTTTTATGTTGGACACTACCATTGGTTGAGGATAACCAATGTGAAATCTGGTGATGTATTCGGGTGACAGAATGTGAAACTAAGGTAGGTGAAATTAATGCTCGAGTCCACTAAAAATTGATAAGTATAGTTAATTCTGTTCTAGCTTACCTCTTTCATGAAAAAAAAAACGTTCCGCACACAGGCACAAGGCCAATGTGAACGGGAGAGTTCAGGGTTAAAAGATGTCAGCTTCCAACTGAAAAATACCCCAATTCGTTAAACAAAAGATCATGGTCTATAAAACTGGCTACCTTACAGACAATTTAAGACGTTATGTTTTCTCTCCGGAGTCCTTGGATTACAATCATACACTGCAATATATATAACCTCTACTGAGCTAAATATTATATCTGGAGGCAACACTGGTTTAGAGTTTGACTACTGAAATAGATGGTTTGTAAGGTTGGTAAAGTGGTAGTGAACTAAACCAGAGGGTACAGAATGGGAACATATTGATTCTGTACTCACTGGGACGCTCCACTCAAAATTCAAAAGTGATTTGAGTGTGAGACATAGATATAACATTATGGTAATTAAAATGGTAATAGTGCAGCTTATGGCCACACAAAAAATAGTTGATATATTTTTGTTTATCAAGCCTGCAGAGGAAACATTCAATGGTAAACTTAAGTGGTGTCTAGCAGTAGTCACTGGTGTCTAGATCAAAGACCAACACACCCCCTTGCCATCATGTACTACAACGCTCACGATGAGGAAGACCCTGTATGATAGGAAATTCTACAAAGTGGTTGCCACTATGGCTCTTTCTTGCTCGTCACAACTCACAACCATATTTCCGGAACAACATACTACAGCTCAATGCACACAATCGTCCCATTAGCGTGTTTCCTCTGTACCTTACTTCCGTGAGGAGCCAGTCACAGAATGCACTAGAGTCTAAAATTATATTTTATACCTTATTTTGTTTCACTGAGATAACTGACCGAGACACAATATGCCATCCTATCAGTTTCACTTAGTTAAAATCAGCGCAATCTGTAGGTGACTCAATTTAACTGCGCCTGTAACTTGGTTAAGTAAAAAAAAAAAAAAAAAAAAAAAAAAAAAAAAAAATACTGGCAACAAGTACAATGGGGCTGTAAAGCTTTAACGTCAAGTTCTGTCAATACTCAAAGCCCAAGCCTAACCAAAATGTCCATCCATTCCATACATAACAAAAATGGCCGTCAGCAGCACTCATGTCAGTGCTACCTCCAGATCATTACAGCTCACTACCTCAACTAGACGTGTCAGAACGGCTGGGGTTGAGTCATCTGAGACATCTGAGGCAGTTGTTGAGGCTGCTGACTCGCTGACGAGTTCAACATGAACTTGTGGTAGATGTTGATGTGCGCTCGCAGACTGTACTTGTTCTTGAACAGCTTGTTGCAGATGAGGCAGTAGGCTGGGTTGTACTCTTCTGTGTGTCTGATTCTCATGTGTTTCAGCAGGTTAGACTTGTTGCTGATGATCTTCGGACAAAGAGGACAAGGCTGGGCTGTCATCTGGTTACCTCCACTCGTAGAGTTACCTGAACACAACATCGTTAGCGATGGTTAATAAAGTCAAACCGAAATAAATAGGGTAGAGTGTTAAAAATTACCTATTTTCTGTCTGGTTGACAACCTTCAAATGAAACGACAAGATATTTAGTACTGTCCAAATGATGACTCCCGCTGGTGGAAACTAACTGCCCTACTGCAACTTCCTATATTTTGTGTAGGTAATTTACAGGTATTTAGATCATTTATAAAATTTAAATGATATTTTTGTTTAAAGGTCTACAACTAACACTAGTTTAACAATTTCCGTCGCCTAAGCTAATTTTTCAATTGATTTGATTTCTTTATTATGAACTAGCTACAGAGAAGTACGATACAGAGGAAAGATTCAATGATACACTTAAGTGGTGTCTAGCACCAGTCGGTGTGAAGAGCAAATTCTATTGTTCGTCCCTTTCCAATCTCCTCTTCCCCCACTGGCCATCACGTACTACAGCACTCACACAGTAGGAAGACCCTGTGCGCTACAACTGCTATACAAATAAATATGATATAAGGCCATCGCCGTTCAGGATCTTCCTAGTTTGCTACTACTTCATTTCCGCCCCACCATTCCAGAGCTAAAAGCGCACTGTTGTCTCACAAGTATGTTTTCTCCATTGTGACGAACCTTGATCAATACGAGTCACTAGTGTATGATCAAATTTACTCTTCATAGGTGCTAAATTTGTTTTCACTCTTTTTAAACAATTTAGAACCACTATAGACTAGGCAAGCTAACTCCCTGTGAAACTACACTTTAACTTTAAAAGAATCCATCATTGATTACACAGGATTTCTTATTGATCGTGAAAGCCAACCATGCTATCCCATCTCAAATAAAAGATTGTCTCACAAGTTAAAAATAAATTAATTACGACTCCAACACTGTCAATGTGCAATGGCTTATTATCAAATAAAACATATTATAAAACTTACTATAAACCATACTCATGACAAAAAAATCATAAAAATAATACCTCTTAACTATGTACAAGTAAAAAAACCATTGTTTTAAAATCAAACAGAATTTCACAAATACATTTAACTTTACACATCTAACAACTTACCAAATATCCTGTCTGGTAGTTTGTGCAATACACTGTGAAATTCAAGTTAGAAAATGTACAATAGTATTTTTGTATCCCAAAAAACAGCTCACCATAAAGATTAATTTCTCAGCTAGTAACAAACTAACTTATCGTTAAAACCAAATATAATCTGTTATACAATATACAAACTCCCAAAATAACACCATATTTATTAAACTTTTGACTTTTTACTAATTATTTCTTGAACCTTAAAAACTGTAAGGAATGATCAGTTTACCGAGAACCTTGAAAAAAAAATCAATCCAAAGGTGAGGAGGTATTTTTTACATAAGAACACCAACACTTAATCTATGGTGGAAGCGTGTATTAGTGAGTTAAGGGTAGTTTTAGGTTAGTTTGGGTGAAAGCCCGTAGCAACCACCCCCTCTGCCATGCGAACCGACAAGCGTTGCCAAATATCAAAGAGACTTACGCTTCCGACGACACTTCCCTCCTTCTTGTCAAAGTTTCCGATAAAAAAATATCTGCACTTAATTTACTTCAGTTTCAAGGTGGAATATACTCAATTGTCTTTAAAATGTTATTAAAGTATGATAATTACATTAATTTTATTTTATTAAAATCCAAAGAAAATTAAAGCAATTTTTTACAGTGTAAATTTTGAATCTATGTAGACAGTTCTATTGTGTACAGTAATACATTTGCGTTATGAATTAAATAAAAATAAACAAATTTCAATTTAAATACAAGATTATAAAATAAGTTAGCCACAACTTCATAAAATTGATAATCTGTTAAACATTTGTTGGTTTCTGTTGTTTTGTTAGATCTCAAAGTCTAAACTATTAATTTAGAATCCACCACTACAGTACTAAATTTAAATATGTCAAAGGACTATAATTCATATACCAGTTAACTGAAAGTTAATGAAAGAATGAAAATGTTCCTTCTTAAAAAATATTTTGTACCAGAAATCTTGGCAGATTCTATATCCATTAATCTTTTAAATGATGTTTCATGGATTTTGATTAACCAACGTCAAACTCTAAAACTCCAAATTGTGGTTTCAAGATCTTAAAGATTCAATCTAAAAAATCTTTAAATTGAAATTGAATTTCCAACCCTAATTCACAAGTCAAAGGAAAAAAATCAACAAGCGTTAACAGCATTTAAAATATATTAAACAACCAACGCACAACACTGTACAAACATATGTTTCGTCACCACCGGACTTTGTGTTTTTCCCACATGTGCACTTTAAACTGTTCCCGCTGCATAAACGAGCGCGGACAAAGGTAGCAGCAAAGTCTGTTAGTCAGATCCGAGTGCATTAAGCGAACGTGATATTTGAGCGCAGATTGGTTGGAATATTTTTGTCCGCAGTGGGGGCAGTTGCCGCACTGGGCCAGGTGGGAACCTGTAACAGGGTTACCAACTTGTAATTTAGGGAAGTGAAATATCCCTGAAACTAGAACGGTTACCAATTTGTAAGCTAGGGAAATATTTTATTCCTGATTTTTTTGTTGAAAGTAGAATATTGTCATTATCTGTATTGCCATAGAGAAGCATCTTTCATCTAGTCTGAGAGTCAAAGAAATATAAAAATACCCCCGCCGCAGCAAACCTGCCGACTAAGCGAATTTCCAGTTGCCTGAATTGATTTTCAATTAAATGTATTTAATTAACATTAATTTTTATGAGTACATAGGCTTGCTGCTACAGGGAGGGTAAAAAAGTGTGTTTTTTAGAGAAATATTAATAACTTAGTATAAAATAAATAAATTTACCAAGTTTGATCAAAATATATCCATAAACAAGCAGACTACAACATTTTACAATATTCCCCATAAGAATAACATGGGAATTTTAAAATAACAATTATTTGAATTTTCTCCGTAACTAATAATAGTACAAAAACACTTTGATATACCAAATTATTTGTTTTTTTAAGCCCTTTAATAAGGTCTGAAGAGAAATTGGGAAATTTTGCGTTTGTAGGGTCAAAAATTAGAAAAACCAATTTTTACCCCATAAAACCCCCCGTAAAACCCCGTTCCCATGGTCCGATCATGCTGGTTCGCGAACTCATTCAAGTTTATCCCGCCTTACACCTTCAAACCAAATTTCATCAAAATCGGATAAAAATTACTCAAGTTATCGTGTTCACGGACACACATATATATATATAAATCTATATATATATATATATACCTATATATATATATATATACATATATAAAAATTTGAACGAATGGTGTTTTTGGCCTCTGGGGACATCATAATGAAAAAGTAAATCGGTCCCGCACCTAGGTCTTACCATGCCACCTACGGTAATAGCTACTTCCCTATAGGGAAATTCGCTAAAAAAAGAAACTGATAATAGTTTTCAACAATTGGAATACAGTAGAACCCCGTAGGGTATATCCGGCCACCACAGGACCAAACTTCTGGCAGGATTAATGATTTGGCCAGATAAACCAACCGTTTATGAAAATGAAAACTCATGTTTAAGTCTCTTTTGGTTTTTTTTTTTTTTTTTTTTTTTTTATTCCTGTTTGTAGAACTAACAGAACAGTTTAAGTGGTTAATGAACTTATAAAAGTTCTCATTTTGGATAACATAGATCAGCATTAAATAGTGATGGAGGTAAAAAATGACTTACAATAAATTGGCCTTGAAGATCGTTAAGTCAAAAAAGTATGTTATTTCTGATTAACTTTCTTATTCATTGTTTTTTTAAACGGAATAAATAATGACTGTACAGTGTACAGTCTGCTCTGAAAATTATCAACCGACTGTTCAGAGGTTAGGCCTTCTAACTAGCTCAACTGACAACAGATAAATTGTGAGAATTCATGAAGACTAGTGCCACAGAAAACATACTACTATAACCCAGAATGCCAACCGCATGGTAAAAACCATTAAGTGTTTTGAGAGAGCTTTGCCTGTCAATCCGTAGGCAGCGCCACCAGCATTGCTATGCGGTTGGCATTCTGGGTTATAGTAGTATGTTTTCTGTGCTAGTGCCTGCATCTATGCGTCTGTAAACCACAAGAGAATTGTTTTTGATATTGGCTTCCTGGAAGTGGCCGGATAAACCGAGGCAGGGCTTCAAGGATTCTACTGTGTAATGATTTTATAATCGCAACCAAAAACCCATTACTTTGGGGAAATTCATCCTTTTTCTGTTTAATACATTATAGTGACACCTATGGTATTCTTTTTTACTATTGATAGAAAGTATTTCAATTTCCATGCTAAGCTGTAAAGGGTTTAAAAATTAAAGTAGTTGAATCGAGTGAATAACAATTGCGCTACTAACAATGATTGATTCATGTTGAATACACCAACTACTAACCAAGCTAAACTGAATTGATATCTTATAGTAAACTGTAAGATCTATCACGCCCCCAACAACCATGGCCCATGGCCATAACCAAGTTTTTTATACAGATTTATTTATTGATATTTCAACAACATCTATTTTACCAGAATATCTGATGATGATTGCTTTTGTTTTATGAACATGTAAAGCACCAGTAGTTAAATCTACTTTAAGATGAGAAAGGATTTAGTCAACTTCAGTGCATTCATAAATTAACATAAAACAAACATCTAGCTTCAAATTTTACTTTAAGATAGGAAGTTAACTTGCAATATTTAAATCTATAGTATATATTTCAACCACTCAAAAAGACACATTATATTTTTAAGATAAATTTATTATAAATAAGATGATTAACAATGCACCAAGTTTGGTGATAGCTCAATATTGCTTGTAATATGTACAAAAACGAATGTTTTAATAACATACCATTTGCAGAAAAAAGTTGAAAACAGCTTGATAATCAACAAACTTACAACATAAATTTTAAAGCATAGTTACTTCATTTTCTAAAGTACCCATAGTTGTATATCCTATTATTTATCTTAGAAAA